AGCAACTTGACATACAGACCATCCCCCAGCACAGCCAAGTGCAGACCATCTCAAACACCTGCACTCAGGCCCATGGTCCTAATCATCCTCTATACGGACCTGCTGGGTAACGCCACAAAGAACCTGAGAATGGGCTCCCACAGGACCTACAGAACATCCCACAGCACAAGTGCTTGGCTGTGGATCTCTGCATCTGCTTCCATCAGTTACTGGATGTAGTTTCTATGATGACAATTAAGGTAGTCACCCATATGACTACAGGAGAAGGCTAGTTAAGGCACCCTCTCCTCTACTGCTAGGAGTCTTAGCTGGGGCCATCCTTGTGGGTTCTTGGGGATTTCCCTAGCACCAGGTTTCTCCCTAATCCCATAATGGCTCCCTCTGTCAAGATATCTCTTTCATTGCTCTCCCTTTCCATCCCTCCCCCAACCTGATCATCCAGATACCTCATGCTCCCATCCCCCATCCCCTCCCTTCTACTGACTTCCAAGTTTAAGAGATCTTAACCATTATTCTTTCCTGGGCAATCCATGCATGTCCCTCTTAGGGACCTCTTCTTTATCTAACTTCTCTTAGGTTTTGGCTTGTAGCCTGGTTATCCTTTGCAAGAGAGGCTGATGCACTGCAGCTCTAGAGAGGTTGATGCAATGCAGCTCTAGAGAGCCTGATGCAATGCAGCTCTACAGAGACTGATGCACCGCAACTCCAGAGAGGCTGATGCACTGCAGCTCTAGAGAGGATGATGCACTGCAGCTCTAGGGAGCCTGATGCACTGCAGCTCTAGAGAGCCTGATGCACTGCAGCTCTGGAGACTGATGCAATGCAGCTCTACAGAGACTGATGCACTGCAACTCCAGAGAGGCTGATGCACTGCAGTTCTAGAGAGGTTGATGCACTGCAGCTCTAGAGAGCCTGATGCACTGCAGCTCTAGAGAGGTTGATGCACTGCAGATCAAGAGGCTGATGCACTACAGCTCTAGAGAGACTGATGCACTGCAGCTATAGGGAGAAGGTAGACAGAACACAGGAGAAAACACCCATGGTCTCCTGTTTGTACACTCTTGAGTGTGGCTTTTTTCAAGGCCTCACTTCTGATTTCCCCTTTCCTCTTACAAACGTAATAGACAGGCTTTAGGAGTCAGACACAGGGAACTCTGACTTAATGTGAGCCCACATGAGTCAGCCACTGGGGCTTTATGTGAGTTCATGGAGGCATCAGGATGGAAGTAGGGCTTCTGGTCCTTTGGTTGGTCTTCTTTAGACTATACATCCACATAATAGGCAGGGAGAGAAAGTACATGGACGTACAAATGTACAGTTTGAGAACTTCCCAATACAATTGACCCTCTTTCCCTTGGAGCCTGAGAGGATGGTGACATGTAACAGGTAACTGTGACTGTATTTCCATAGGTAGACCATATTTAGGAAGAGCTGATTTATGACTACTTTCCCCACACTGTTGTGGATCATCTTACACTTTGCCTTTTGAAGAAAGATGGGCTTTAGATGTCCTGGTGACACAGCAGGGCCTAGTGTGCCCTCTGTGCTGGACAGGATTCTGGAAATATAGGTGAAGCAATGATATTATTCTTTGTCCTGATCCTGAAGAACTTTTTATAGCATGAAAGAATATGCTGTTCAGATTTACCGTGGGTGGAAGTTACCCTTTCTGATGAACTCCTAGAGATGGCAAAGGTTTCAGTTTCATTATGTCATTTAGGTTAAGTTAGTCAACTTTCACAAACACTGGAGGCTGCGATGTCAAAACATTGTCCTGGCCTTCTCTTCCTACCACCTGTTCACTCTCCTGAAATTTCAAGCACCAACAATCCCCCTGGCACCTTGGAAGGCTATTTTCTTTCTAAAAATTTTCCATGCTTATTGCTGTTGATTAATTTCTTCATACTGAAGATTGCTTTTATAAACAGAAAGCTGTTCCCCTCCATAGGCCTTTAAAATGTGCTAATATTTTATGATCTATAATCTCTGCCAAACAAGAGGAACATATCACTAGTGAGGAGGGTATTCTACAGCTGATGGTCAAATATCAGGAAGAAGACTCTCCTTTACCCAGTCACCATATATTGAATTAACATCAAGGACCTGGAACAAGTTGTAATCTAAGCTTTCCATCCAATAAAGAAGAAACCACTGAAGTGTCTATACTGTTGGAAAAAGACAAAATCATGGCCTACTGCAAAAGTTGACACACAGTTGGTGTTTGCTTTTGTGAGAGGAATAGAAAGTCAGTGTTATGTGCCTTAAAGTGTTTATCTCTTGGCTCTGGGGTGGAAGCCAATGCTAAATCCAATCCTGTCCTCCTCTGATTTTAGACATGGTTCGTCAATCAAAGAGCCGAAGAGAGAAAGAGTGCAAGGCGTGTAATATTACAGAGCATACCTCCTCATATTCAAAGGGTTCTTCTCCTTAGGGAGAGGGACGACAATTCTTAGAGTGCAATCTTTGTTCAGGAGCAAGAGGGCAAATTAGTGACACGTGTACTCAATGTCCAGCTTCACTAAATTTCAGCACTCATGTTAACAATAAAATCATGAATTTCCAAGTTATTTAATTTCATATGCTTCCTGGGGTTTTGTAGTATATAGATGTACACTCTGCAGGAAATGCCATTTAAACAAAATGACAAGTTCTGTTTTTAGGGGGTGGCATTTCTAAGTCATGAGTATTGCTTGCACAGATGACTATTCCCTACGCATGGTAATTGTGAAACAGTGGATCACTTAAGCCTTCTTGATTCAGGCTTACTTTATCCTTTGAGCAAGGGATTCAGTAGTAACCCTGCAAATGTGGAATCTAAGGAGAAGGTGGGCACAGAAAATATTGATGGTGATGATTACTTTTTATTTGGGGAGGGGTCAGAACAATTCTTTCCTTTTTCTTTTAATGAAAATAGATTTTTTGTTACATAATATATCCTGATTATGGTTTCCCTTCCCCCTACTCCTCCCAGTTCCTCCCCACTTACCCTTCCATCTGGACATATCTACCTTTCTGTTTGTCACTAGAAAACAGCTCAGGTGGGTGGAAGCCACCCACAGGCCAGCCATGTTTGGGTCCATGGCCCTACTGTAGCCAGGGTCTGTGTTGACATCCATGGGCCATGTTGCCACAAAAGGCCACAGGATGACCAGTGTCTGGGCTGCCACCAGTGGACAAGCAGGTGTTAGAGGACCATGCCACCTCAGGGGCTATACTGATATGAGTGGCCTATGCTGCCACCCTGTGCCATGGTGACATCAGGGACTGAGTTGCAGCTGAGGGCATTGTCTGGGTCCATGGCTCCTGCTACCATTGAAAGCCATGCATATGTCTGGGGTCTGGGCTGTCACCTGGGACCATGTTGGTGTCCCTGGATCATGATGCCTCTGGGGCCATGCCAATCTGAGTGCCTGTGCTGCTACCCAGGGCCTTGGTGACATCCAGGCCATGTTGCTGCCTAGGACAATATCTGGGTCCATGTCCTACTGCATCCAGTGACTGTGTTAATGTCTATGTCCTGTGTTGCCACCTAGACCACATGGATACTCAAGGTCTGTGGCACAACCTGTGGACTTCTTGTTGTCCAAGCCTCCAGAGTCATGCTGATCTGAGTAGCCTATGCTTACACCTAGGGCCTAGGTGTCATCTGGGCCCAAGTAGCTGCTGAGGGCCATGTTTAGGTTCGTGTCCCTATGGCAGCCAGGGTCTGAGTTGATATCCATGGCTCCTGCTACCACCAAGGGGCAAGAAGATGTCCTAGGTCTGGTCTGCCACCTGAGACCATGTTGGTGTCCCACAGCCATGCTGCTGCTCTGGTTGGCCTGTGCCACCACCTGGGGCCATGGTATGTCAGGGTCCATGCTTCAGTCTAGAGCCATCTCTGGGTCCATGGCCCCACAGCATCCAGGGTCTGAGTTGATGTCCATGGCATCTGTTGTCACCATGGGCCATGCAGATGTCCAGGGTCTGGTTAGGCACCTCAGACCATGTTGGTGTCTGAGAGCCATGCTGCTTGCTGCTGTGACCAAACTGGTCTGAGTGACTCAAGTTGCCACAGGGGACATGGTGACATCTGGGCCCGAGATGCTCTGGATGGCCTCCTCTGGATCTGGGGTCCTGCTGCAACTGGGGTCTGTGTTGACATCTGTGGCCCATGTTACCATAGGGGGCATGCATGCTCTGCCCTGTGTTGGCCCTAGGAAAGCTGGCCCTGCCCCTCACTAGACACTGCAGCAAGAGTGCTAAGCCTGACCCACACAGGAGAGCTGGTCCCAATGACTCTGGCATGGAAAGCTGGTCCCCTGCACTCAGGAATAGATGGCCATACATCTCAACACAGGCATGAGAGAGCTAGCCTGGATGCCATGGGCATAGAAGAGCTGGTTCCACCCCTCATCTGAGGGGGGCAGCTCCAGTATCCAGGACTGACCAGCTCAACTACCATATCCAGGGACTTGGGTTGGCCCACCCTAACATCTACCCCTTCTAGGACCTGCTGGAGCATGTGAAGGGACTGGTTCTGCAGATCTCTATGACTAGGGGCAGCTGTGGGATATGAGAGAGGAGTTTCAGTGAGAGTCAAGTGATAACAGTGTACTGGAAACCAGAGGCCTTGAACCAGACCAATGACTCATTGCAATTTTCATTTTAGGATGGGGCTGATTGAACAAAAGGGTATACTGCAGGACACACCAAGGATCCCAGTGCCACTCAAATGAATGAAGAGATGTTGAAGAGGTAGGAAAGACAGAGGAGAGATGTGGGGCTTTTGTTTGGTTGTTTCATTGATTTAGTTTGGCATTTTTTACATTTTCTTTTGGGGTAGGGACTCTGCAAGGGTGAAGGGAGGATATGGAGGGACTGGGAAATGAGAAGATGTGGGGTCCATGATGTGAAATTCCCAAAAAATCAATAAAGAAATTGTGTGTGGGGGGGGGCGTGTATTAAACCATACAGCCGACAGACATCAGCTGATATTATGATGTTCTTGTCAGGACACGTGAAGGCTGGAATGCACATCAAAGGCCAATGTTAGGCATTCAGGCAGTAGGGGGGCATTCATCAGAAGCATTTGGTTTGCTGTGGAGACAGGGAGAAATCACATTGGCTGGACTGGTCCACATAAGCTTTCAGCAAGTCCAGGGCTCATGGCCTTTGAAGCAGTTTGTTGTCTGCAGCCAACTTCTGATGTCTGTCGGCTGAGTGGAAATCTGGTGGTACAGCTGTAGACTGGGGACAGAAGTTAAAGTTTAGGAACTTAAAGGAGAATCTTAGATTTAGAACTTTCCCCTCAGGAAGAAACAATAGGTAGGGAAGCTTAGGCTATTGATTGCCAGGAGCACCTATCTGGAGTCCAGTTGATGTGTGACATATAGATCCAAGTTGTGTCTTTTTATAGCTTATATGGATTTTTAAAATTTACAACAGATAAAATTTTAGATACATTACTATTAATGTTTCTAATATGTACAGAAATTCATAATGTAAAAAAGGCAGTAGACTCAAAGGTTTTCGAGTCATAGTAAAAGCTTGATGACACAAAAGATACAAAATCATAGATAAGAACATCTTTTCTCAGAGGGATGAAATTTTATATATAAAAGACAGAGATTTTTTTAGCATAATAAAAAGCATCTTTAAGTCTATAGTTAGAAGACATCTTGACCAAGATGATGGTGAAATTACATGGCTGTTACTTTTTTAAATCCGTTTTAAAAACAAGAGTTGAATATATTGTAGTAAATTAAGGTTACTCACACACATATTTTTAATTATTAAGACTTTTGTCATAAATTTTTAAGTTAAACTTTTGTTGTAGATTTTATAGATCTTTAACCACACTCTATAAACTTACAAATCTTAAAATACAGAAAATGAACTTAATAGTTTTACAAACTATTAAGGTGAAGGTATTATTAAAGTATTATCGAGATAAAGTTCATATTTTAGCAAAAGTCTTAGAGAGTTCAATGAAGTCATTAGTCTAATTTTTTGTCTGTTTTGCTTTGCTCTCTTTCCCCATCATAAAATCAGGTGGCTGATCTGACTCAGGACAGAGAGGAAAGGTTGTTTGGTTTTAGACACATGCTTGGGTCTAGGGAAAGGAGAGCCATAATCCAACTCCAGAGCCAGCTTTTTAATAAAGCAGAACAACATAAAACAATATTTCAGTATTATCCATATCTAAAAGATACCCAAATCCCTGTAAAACAGAATTCAGTAACAGGGGAATTCCTGGTTATCAAAGCAGCCAGAGCAGGCAAGTGAGGCAGCAGCCACTGAGACCATAGCCTCAATGATGGTCCTCCCTTGCTGGATCCACCCTTCAACTGCCCCACCCCAAGGTAGGCCCTGGTTTTCCCCAAAGTGCCTCACTTCTGCAGGCACCTAGCAGCCAATCTAGAACTGGTGTGGACCAGGGATTTCCTACTGTTTAACTAAAACAAAGCATCCCAAAACTCCTGGCTGTGGTGGTGGTGTGATTGTGGCAGTGACTGGCCAGGGATTTGGATGAGTGAGGCAGAAGTACACAAGGCCCCTCAGAGTTGGGGGTCATAGTGTCTGCGGGAGCAGCATGCTCCCAGGAGGGTGCCTGTATCAACTCAGCCAGGTGGCACAAGGACAGTGGATCTGTAGCCCTGGCTATAGATAAAGGATATTATTGCAGGAGGGAGCTAAAATAAGAATTAGCACAGAGTGTTCAGTTGTTCCTACATATGCCATTGCAGCCTCATGGGTTCCCCCATTCCCTCCCTTGCTTACTTGGTCTGGTTTCCTCATCCTCTTGTAATTGAGAAAGATTAACTGTAGCACAGAAACACATATAAGGAACTGAGACCACAAAAAAAGCAAAAACCTGGACACAGGTTAGGGTGGGGGGTTACTTCAAGATTTTGTCCCATCATTTCAACTTCTTTTTAAAAAAACAAGAAGTAGCATAACAAATAATCCATACAACATAAAACAGACATACAATTTGGTGGCATCTCCCTACTTCCAGAACTGGGTCTGACAGACCCAAACAAGGGCCCCAGAGACTCAAACAAGGGCCCCGGTGTCCCAGGGACCCCTCAGACTCAAGAAAGTAAGGCTGAGTCCAGCTTTTCCCATGATTCTCACAGATGCATCGTACAACAGACAGAATCCTTACCTACAAATCCAGAAGCTTTTTGATGCCTCTTTTTCACAATTCTAATGTTGAAAACATATCCCTCCCTCTCAAGTGCTGGGCCTCTCCGATTCCTTGATTCCTAGCCTGGGAACACACCAGTGGCTTTCCACAAACATTGGGCCTCTTGGGTCTATGTTTTGCCAGGCCCCAGGCTGGTAGACTTCAGGAACTCAAGGCTCCTCTGTGAAGTCTAGGCATTGGATACCTGCCTGTAGCTTCCCCAAGCATTGAGCCCTCTGATTTACCTCCCAATCAACACCTCTTCCATTTCTCTTCCAAAAAGGGCAAGCCTCCCAGGGATATCAATCAAACACAGTTGCATGCAAGACTTGGCACATCCCCTCATATTGAGGATTGCTGAGACAACCCAGTAGGAGGAAAAGGGTCCCAAAATTCAGTAAGAGAGTCAGAGACAGCCCCTGCTCCCACTGCTTGGAATCCCACAAGAACACCAAGCTACACCACCATACATGCAGAGGACCTAGATGAGATCCATGCAGGCTCCCTGGTTGGTGGTTCAGTCTCTGTGAGCTCCTATGTGCCCAGGTTAGTTGATTCTGTAGGTCTTCTTAGACATCCCTGACCCCTCTAGTTCCTACAATGATTCCTCCTTGTCTTCAATGGGATTCCCCATGTTCTGCCTAATGTTTGGCTGTGAGTCTCTGCATCTGTTTCCATCAGTTGCTAGATGATGCCTTGCTGATCACCATTAGACAGTTAAGTTAGGCACCAATATATGAGTATAGCGGAATATCATTTTGAATCATTTCATTGACTTTTTTTCCAGTCACGTTTGATTCTATCCTATGTCTCTGGGCTATGCAGCCTCTGGGTCCTGGCTCTCCAGGCAGTGTCAGTGGTGGGATCCCTCTGTGGCATAGATCTCAAGCTGGACCAATCACTGATTGTCCACTTCCACAATTTCTGCACCACTTTTATCCCAGCTTATCTTGTATGCAGGACAGACTGTGGGTTGAAGGCTATGTGGCTGAGTTGGTATCCCAAATTCTCCACGGGAAGTCTTGTCTGGTCACAGGAGATGGCCAGTTCAGAAGAGGCTTTATTAAGTACTGGTGCTGGATACTCATGGCACCAGGACTGGAACGTAGTGCACTCTCAAGATGTAGCATCTATTCATATCAGCCCAAGGCTTATAAAGTAAAACACCACAAGATTACATGTATTCTGTCTACATGTAGGCATGGTCTAATTTT